TGTACAATGACTCTTTGTGTTTGTTTGCTTCTTTTTATCTATGTCGTAGCCCCTAAATACACATATTGTCGATTCGTCGACTGCACGGACTGCTCAACCTTGCACACGTGGTACGGCTGAGTCGCGAGAGGACGACTTGTACAATGGCAAGTCTGATGCAAGCGTTACCTCGCGGTACGTGCTTTGCAGGAGTTCTGCGGTAAACGAATCGACGATACCATTGAAAATGCTTTGTGTTTTGTTTCTTTGAGTTCGGGAATTTCTTAGGAAAGTCGAAGGACCAATTTTGGTCGGTTCGTAATGGCACGAGAATCAGAGTTTCAGATTTGGATAAATATTAGCATAGTGATGCATCTTTTGTGCAGTAGGTGCAAATCGACCAACATTGCCCTCAACCTTTATTAGCAATTAGATCATGGCTGCTATTCACATCTAAATCGTTGTCGTTTATGAACAAAGCGTCAAAATGTAACTATCCCATATTGCAAAGATAGTGTGGGCCTTACGTGGACAAAGATATACCCACTGAAGCCTGGCTTATATGCCGAATTTCACTCTCATGATCAAGGAGGATGTATCATTCAGGCTTGCAAATCAGCTGAATGATTTTGCTGACTCGTTCTATTCGACTCATTTTGTATTTGTGCCTGGTCCGGATGATCCTAGTTTCAATATGGTAAGTTCTCAAAGCTTAAAAAGACGAATAGGTCTTCTCCTTAATGTCGTTTTCATTTCAGGTTCTTCCTCGGCCACATCTTCCCGGGGTGTTGTTCAAATATCTTGAAGAAATTCCTAATTGTTTGTTTGGCACCAATCCGGTTCGGATGCAATACGCCAGTCAGGAAATAGTAGTCTTACGGAATGATTTAGTTGAGAAGATGTGCAGGTAGAATTTGTTAAAGTCTTTGTCTTTAAGTGTTTAGATCATTTTTAGGCACGCTGTGAACACTGTTTCTGCGGAAAATATCACCAAAAGTTTTGCAAGAACTATCTTAAGTCAGGTAATAGCTGGTTAACTCTCACATAAGACTGGCAAGAAGCGGACAAAGATTTTGCTTCGATGAGGGCACCAACTAGGCCATTCAGTACATCATCTAATAGAGGAGAGCAAACACTACAAGACCATGCCAATCACAAATATAATCAATGAATCTTGTGGGGATATAGAGGCAAAGTTCAAAGACATAGGATGACAGAGCTCAAATGTCCGCCTTTCGTAAAGCTGTGACATTCACAATACTCCACTATGTAGTAGATATGAACACACATACATGTATGCAAAATCTGTATAAGGCTCGAAATTATCAGGAAAAATCGAGGTAATCGAAAATTGGCAAACTCCTCCTTGTTGACCCTAATCACCTTTTGCCTGCACAGTATAAGCCCCTAGCAGCCCGAGCCCATGGGCATGAAAATATACAAATAAAAGTTTTTAATCATTTTTTTTCAAAGATGCGCCCAAAAATGAAATCTGAACAAACAATGCAGTAAGGAAGAAACCAAAAAGTAATTTCGAATG